CCCCAAAACCCCAAAACCCCAAAACCCCAAAACCCCAGGACTATTGATTAATGAAAATTTATCTTATAAGTAAGAAAGATATATGTATTTATATTATAAAATTCACAATCCAAAATCTAAGAAGTTGTTTTATTTAGAATTAGGATCTAAATTTGTTGGCAGGTTCCTTAAAATTACCTGTTTTTTGGCTATCTTATCATTTTTCAAATAATTTTTATCAATTTCTTTCTAAAATAGATCACCTCCTGAATTAGTAAACATAGTTTGTTTAGACATGGGCCGATTCTTAATAAGACCTTAAGCTTTTAAACTTGCTTGAGTTAACTTATATTTAGTTATCTGATTATTTTGCAATACTTGCTTCAGAATCTAGCCTGAGAAGGTTAATTTACTTTTTTAAGGTGATATTTCATCTGTAAAAACCTGTTGAATATTTACGCTTTTGACTTAATGGTCTATATCATTTTTCATCTAAGATTTGCTGTAATTATATGTTGGAGTAACATTACTAAGGATAAATTAAGCTTGTTCATTTGATTAGATATGAAACTATTTATCTTTAGACTTAGCAAGTTTTGAACCTTTAATGGGGCTTTTAAATTTTTCTTATGTACTTTTAGAAGAAGCAGAGTAAGCTTGCTAAATCTTAAATATTCTCTCACTGCTTTTAGTTATTTCCCCTTTACTTATTAGAGATCGAAATTTCTCAATAAATTTCTCTTGATCGAACATATTCATTGACTAAGTCGAATTGTATAGATTTTATTACGGAGATTGTTGAACATAATTTAAAAATTCATCTACTACTTACTCTTTTTCTCTCATAAGTTCTAGTTATTTCTTCTTTAGAGCGTGCTTCTTATTAGATAATATTATACTCAGTTTATTTTATTAATTCTTAAATGATTTGCTATTATTATTACTGCTATTCTAAGCATTTTAGCTGGTATTTAATGCTCTGCTTTCTTCTTAGATTATATCTTGATTGTCATATTTTGTTTCCTTATTGCTTGTACCTTGAGTGACATCCTATTTGGTAGTGTAATCAGGCTTAGGAATTTTCCTTTGATTTTTATAAGATTATGCATATTTTTCCTTACGTTTCAAGGCATTTTTAGCTCGTTAAAGCTCACCGATCCTTTCTATTAAGTTTTCAGCATCTCTCTTCAGTAATTTAAACTTCTTCTGATTCTATATAGATTAATGATGCTAAATTTAGTTGTCAATTATTATCATATTATCCACATTTCCAACATTTATTGAATGAAGATTATCGAATACCTCATTAATTGGTTGCATAGATTACTACTATTGATAACTCTGCATAAAGGATGCTCTTGACTAGATTGAATCTGATCCGAATTGGATCTTAACTTGATTTTTAAGGTTGTCAGGTATCTGAAAAGAACCTTTCTTATTATGATACTAAGAAGCAGTCGAAGGCACTGATCCATTTGTCTATGTTAAAAGCTATTGTTATTAGCAGAAACCACTAACATAATCATTATCTTGAACTATATGCTCTAATTATTACATAGCCTTGGTTTTGCTTTTATTTTTATGATGTCTCTGATAAAAGAAATCGCCCGCTGATTCTAATCTTTTGAAATTTGCACTCTTCCCTGTTAAGAATAATTATTCTGATCAATCTGGACTTAATCCTGAGGTTTAAGGTTTGTAATCCACAACATTTTATTAGGTACTTTTACCTTTTAAGTCTATATTAGGTATTTAGTCTAATTAGGAAATTAATGAATCTCTGAGCAGCTGTATATTATTAAAATTAGCATTGTTCTTACTGCTACCATTGTTATTGTTGCTCTAATTTATATTTTATACTTATTCCTATCAAGAAATAGTAAAAGGTGTGTTGTTTCTCTTATGATACTCTCTTTATATCTCTATTATTTCTTAAGGATCTTGCTATTTCAGCCAATGATAAAAGTTATATCTATATTGCTTTCTCTTATCTTACTGGTAAAATTATCCTGACTAAGTTTTGCTAAATTTTTATCAAGTGTGTAGATCTTATTGCAACTTCCTCTTCTTTTCTGATTCTTTCAATATCTTGAAATGATTTTCATAAAAGCTAAGATCTTGTTTTTATTCCTAATGATTATTCTCTAAGTATTGTCCATTTATTATATGATTATTGAAATAGTTTAACTCTTTATCTACTTAAATTGGGTTAATGATTTCTTTTTATTTAATTTTGCAGTAGGTACTTGAAATTTTTTCGTAGTCTTCACAGTTCACTATGAGGTTTAATTGATTTGCTTTAGATGTAAACAAAAGCTAATTTTCTTCATGGAAGTTGATATTATCATGCTTACTTAATTAAGTTGCATATCTTTTCTTAACATCATTTACTGTAAGATAGATTTTGCATTAATTAATTAGCTAGGTATTTTGCTGCTATTGATCTTTTCCTGCTGTTGGCTGAAATCGATTTAAATTCACAACCTTCTTTTAGTTGGGTTGATAGTTCTAAATTTTCTATTTACTCATACCAGAGCACTTACTCATCATGTTAAGTAAATTTTAAGAGTATATAGTGTAAGAATCTACTATAGTATTAGGATCACAAAGTGCACTACTAGACATTACCATTCGTTTATCTGTTCCTGTAACCCCATTCAGATTTTACTTAAATCTATCTGGTTGTTAATTTTAAAAGCCATCAGCTTTAGTCATCCCCAAAGAGCTAAATTCATGATTATCTGCTTTTGAACCTAAAGTTTAATCGGTAAATACTTGTGATGTTTGCAAGTCAAGGTTCATTTAATTTCCAACATAATTGTTGTTTTATTGCTCTTATTACGTTTGATAAGTATGATAGTCATATATTTCTTCATCATATTCATTGTCATCTACAGTATCTGAGTCCTCTTAATAAGCCAGAGACTTCCGAGATTCTTATGTGCAGTCAGGTAACTGCACTGTGTGCTAGTAGATAGATTCTTAGGAGTCATTTCAAAGATTAGATAGTGGTGAGCCTATATTTAAACTGTTCCTTTTTGCAAGTTTTTATTCCATTAAGACTTTATTTTTTTAATTTACAGATAAATAATTAAAAAGAACAATTATCAACAATCAAGCATTAAGGGGTTTTGGGGTTTTGGGG